CTTGAGATCCTACATTGTTTCTTTAGTTTGATAGGCAGCTTGCAACCAAAGCCATCAGTGGATAGGCATCTTTGGAGTGACTCTCTCTCTCTCTCTCTCTCTCTCTCTCTCTGTGTTTGTGTGTGTGTGCTCACATGCATTCATTTGCGCTAGGAGTTATACCTAGTTCTTTGCACATGTTAAGCAAATGCTCTGCTGTTGAGCAGCATTTCTAACTCTGCTCAACAGAGTTTTTTTTTCATACAACTATTGTACATAGTTGTATACATACAAACTATTTACAATAGATTCTCTGGGGGAAATGGCCTTGTTAAAATTGTCACCTGTTTGATTGGGATGCAGTAGCTCAAGGGTAAAGTACTTGCCTAGCATGTATGAAGTCCTCAGCTTCATTCCAAGCATTGAACAAACAAACAAACAAACAAAAATAAAAAAGAGGAGTGGGAAAAAAGAATGAACTGGAAGTCACATCTTTAATCCAGCTATCAGCAGATCCCTGGAAAACCCTATCTGAAGGCCTACCTCTACCCACCTCTAATGTAACTTGGAGTCCTTGTTGACTCCTTGGATTCCTTGTCTTCTAGTCGTTGTCTTCAAGTGTAGAATCAACACAGACCTGTTTATCTGCATACAGGATTCCCCTCTGAGATGTTACTGCTTGTTAAAGAAAGTTCCTGCTCTTAGGAGGGCTCCTGTGTTCCCTACTTTCTGGTTGATCAGCCCTTCTTGGTCCCTGCTTTTTCTCACTAGCCTAGTAAGTCTCATTTTTATTCTATGCTGGTTGTCACTAAAATGGACTCCCTCTGATTTCTTGACTGAAAGCAGAAGTAGGGGATCTGTGACAGTCAAGGTCTTTTGGGCACCAAGGGTGCCTGATCTCTTAACTCCTTCGGTCCAGAGACTGCAGATGGAATGCAAGGGTCCTGTTAACTTTTGCACATGTTAAGGGTTCCTCTGTTTGCTTACTCAAAGACATGGGTCTTTGCCACCCATCTAGGTACCTGAGAGTTGTCTTCTTTTCTTCCTGAATACCAGCTGGGACTCTCAGAGGGTCAGTCTTGCTTTGTGGTTTGGCCCCCTTCTCTGGATGATTCAACATCCTCACTGCGGATTTAGCCTTTTCACTTTTCACTCTGTCTATCCCCTCCATGGCTACCATACCCATAAATCTTACATGGATTTTCTTCCAGGGTTGGACCCCCTACAAACATACACACATCCCGGCAAGAACACATAGGAGATGAATACAGATCCATTAATGTAGCCCTAGCTGTGCATTAACACAAAAACAATTCATCTGTATTTCCCTCACCTACTCTGGAGATCCTGAATGAGGAGCTCCCACTCAAACTCTGTGTGGTAGCCTTGAGACTGATTTCATTTATCACTGACGGAATATGAGTAATTTTATCGTGAAACACAGTTCAGGGTGATAGATGAGGGAGCCAGGGCAGATGATTGCCTGGCTACCTCTCACTTTAAGAGGGATGCTTAAAGGGGGGCCTTCTGCCTTGTATAGAGAGGCAAGGGGAAGATGATGGAACAAGAGAGAGCGAGGATGAGGAAAAAGAGCTTCAGTGTGGTAGCTGGAAAAGCTTTGTTAGTGGGGGAGACAGAAGACCTAGAATTGGCTTCCCTGCCAGGGTCCCAACCAGGTAGGACACATGGCTGTCTCACAGATATGCCCAAGGCAGAGGATGAGGGACAAACAGGTGTGTTTTTTAATGCCCAGATAGAAAAGGAAATGTGAGGATGTTTTCACATGTGTCTCTTTTTCTTCAGCTTCTTCACAAATTGGTGTGATATCTGTCTCACTATCTCATCAATACTAGCCAAAGTCATATCTGCCTTAACCTTTGGATGTGAAAGCATTTGGCTCCTGGATCCTCTTCCATTTATTCAATTAGGGAACCTGCCTATGGCCAGGGGCCATGGGTCTAAGACCCAAACAATAGTGAACAGCAAGGGACTCAGCAGGCTCGAAGTCACATAGTAAACAAGTTCAAGTTTCTCGGGTGTGGTCAGCCAGCCCCTGTGGTGATATCTTGCTTATACAAATGTAGCCTGTCTGAAGGTCAGAGAATGGAGCTTGCCACTAGATAACCATAGGGGTCTGGAGGTCTGTACAGACAGACAGGAAGTGAGATAGTTCGGCGGCAACAGGATACAAATAGGGAGAAACAGGAACTTGCTCTTTTGTCAGCTGCGATGCTAAGAAGGGAAGATGTGGCTGTAGCTTGCTCTTTTTCGCTGATCTCTCAGTGTTTTCCTCTATATCTGACTCTGTTTTTTTTTTAATTATTTAGAACATTAAGAACTCCATTTACAAGCCCCAGTCCCCTTTCTACCAAAGTAAAGCCCCTTAATGCCATCTCCATGCAGCTAGGAAGTTGATCCCTTGGCTAGTCACAGGGTTAGACAGATTCAGTCCTGCAGGAATGATTCTACTGTTTCTTGTGTGTCTGGTGAGTACCCTGTGGAGCTGACAGCCAACAATGCTGTCATCTTGGTTGATGAGCCTTAGAAAGAAGGCTGGGAGTAGTGCAAGGGAATCCTTGTGCAGGAGTGGAGTTCTCCCTAGGCAGCTGGGCAGCTTCCCCTGAGGCTGCTACTGGCTCAGCTGAGGCGCTGGGCGCATCCAGGAAGTCTGGGTCACTGCCTGCCCACAGCTGCCCATATGCTTGCCTCAGTGAGTTACTCTCCTAGACTCCCTGTTTGCCACAGGTGATTAACCCTTTCACCTCTGGTTGCAGGGAGGTTGTTTGAGTGGATATCAGGCGATACCCTATGTACAGTTGCAGCCAGAGACACCTGTAGAAGCTGCAGGTACATGGGTCCTTTTCGTTGAGGACACTGTCACTCCTCCCCCTTTCCCATATAGCCAGGTTTGTCCCTTTCTTATTGTGGCAGAAGAATTCAGTGATTAACTGGTAGCTCCTGGTTTCTGTCCCAATTGTTAATAGGCTAGGCACCCCACTGGTGTCTTCACATAAATACTGAAGCCATTGTCCACTGCCATCTCAGGATACTGATGCTTCAGAGGATATAACTTGGGTATAGCTTTTGCAGAGAGACTAGTTAGATTTTTGCCTCCTGCTACAGGGTTAATGCCCCTTCTGTAAGGACTCAGGGATTATGCTGGCCTGCCCCTGTCACCTGGCAGAATGCACTCAGGCAGTACCCTGGTCAGCCTAGGGTTCCATGATTGTGTAGGTACAAAGGACCCCTTTGAAGGAAAGACCCCTGCCCACTTGCACTCTCTTCTCTCTTTCCAGTTTCCTCTCTTTCCTGCTGTTCTCTTTGGGCAGACAGGACTTTTCCTGTCTTCCTCTTCTGGCCTCTCTCTGTCTCTGACTCTTTACCTCTTTTCTCTTTCCTTCCACCTCCCTTCCCTTTCTAATAAAACTTCTCACTTAAGCTCTGATGCCTGGCATGTTTATCCCTCCACCTAGGTCAACATCACCTGCCATGGAATCTGCCAATCCCCCCCCCCCATTATTCCTAACACCTTCCCCAAAATGCCCTCTTCCCCCAAGCAGATTGTATAGGGAGGTGACTTGGTCTGTGGTGGAACTTGACTTCAGGATTGCCAGGGTCTGGAAGAAGGCATGTAGATGATGGAAGGCATGGGTGAAGAAGCAAGTCCAAACACAAACTCCAGAGAAGTGTCCCAAAGGACTTAGAGGCAAGTGAGATCCCAACACTTATCTCTCCTTGACCTTTGAGAGATTCACAGTGAACTATACTACTCTTGTCTGCTACAAAACCAGACTGAACTATCACACATGCCCAGCACATCTTATAATTTCCTGTGTTGTGCCCCTTTGCTTTATCTATAAAATACTATCATTATTTCATAAGGGTTATAGTATTAAATTAGATTTTATATGAAATATTTTGTACATTGCCTGGTAAATTGCATGAAAGAGAGAACTATTTACATATCCTCTGCACAGTCATTCTGAAAGAGTGAAATTCAAATAATGAAAATAGTCCTACACATGGAAAATAAGAACACGGCAATCCAGTTTTTTTTCTGCTGAGCAGCTAAATAATTTGGTAGAGTTATTAGATATATTGCAATATATTTTAGGTTCTTATTTCTAGTTTAAAATAAACTAGATGGGTGATGAGCAGTTGATTTTATAAATTATTTTTAATTAGTATACAAAATAGCAAGTTCCCTTATGACATTTTCATACATAATTAATTTGGTTTTCTATTCCCCTCCTCCCATACCCACTCATTTCTCCCATCTCCTTGCCCTTAGTCTCCATTTATAAACTCTGGCTCCAGTATTCCCTTCCTACTTTATGTCACATGTTCTATTACCCTCGTTATTTTCTTTTCTAAAACTATTTCCATTATCCGGAATCCCTTTCTATGTTAATAACCTATACTTACACTCACTCCTCTGTAAGTATCCTTTTTTTTTTTTTTTTTTTTTTTTCCCCAGACAGGGGTTCTCTGTGGCTTGGGAGGCTGTCCTGGAACTAGCTCCTGTAGACGAGGCTGGTCTTGAACTCACAGAGATCCCCCAGCCTCTGCCTCCTGAGTGCTGGGACTAAAGGTGTGTGCCACCACCACCCATGCCATCTACCTGTCTTTAAATTTTACAACTTTATCTTTCTTTACAGATGAAAAAATTCCATTGTCGTCATGTACCACATTTTCACTACCCATTCATCTTTTGATGACCATTTTATTTCCTTGCTATTGTGAATAGAACAACAACTAGTGTGAGGAGCCGCACTCACATTCGCCATTACAAGATGGCGCTGACATCCGCTGCCGGATCAAGTAAACAATGTTGGTGCGCATGTGCCCAGTGTTTTTCCACTTGCCTAGTATTGCCTCTCCCGTGGCGTCATATAGGGTGATGAGTCATCCACCTATCCCAGCTGTACACGCACTGCTTGGAGCTTATGAGCCTTTATAAGGGGACGGGATTCTTGGCTCGGGGGTCTCCCTAATCGGAAACTGATCATCTGTCTCTCAAGATGCATTAAAGCTTTACTGCAGAAGGATCCGAGTGTTCTGTGTCATTCTTGCTGGCGAGACGATCGCGCGGGACATCTGGTGCCGAAACCCAGGAACTTGTTGACATCGCCGGCGCCGCGGGAGACCCCTCGGAGGACGGGGCGGATTCAGAACTGCAGGGAGGTAAGTTCGGAGAGGTATGCTTAGTCCTGATATCCTTTTTTTGACTTTGGCCTTAATTTGTCACCACCATGGGATGGGTCAGTAGAAGCCTTAACTCTAGTCTTGATTATTCTTCTTTTGTTCATATTGGTCTTATATTGTGCTCATCGTGGCTGGTGTTTCAGTTCTCGACCAAGCGGACCCCAGGTAGCCGCCAGCATAATGGGCTCTTCACAATCTATAGCCACAGCCTTGCAAATGGTTCTAAAACAGAGAGACCTAAAAATTGCTCCCCACACACTCCAAAATTTTGTGAAGGAGGTGGATAGAGTGGCGCCATGGTATGCCTGTTCCGGGTCCCTTAACGTGGCTTTCTGGAACAAATTAGGTATGAAAGACCCCGAAGGGATACTTTCGTAGAGGGAGACCCACACACCCAGGAATCAGCGAGGCCACGAACTGGATGTAAAAAACAAGAGGCTTTATTGGAGACGCGGGTACCCGGGGCGACTTAGCTTTTCTGAGGCCAAGC